GGATGATCTGTCTGCTGTCACTGGCTGGTGCTGAGGTCTGAATCTGAGGGCAGCTCCTGTAATCACAAGGAGAACAGAATCATCACAAACTGAAATATAAAGTTTCTCTCTCAAATCTGAAATAAAAAATTTCCAATATAATATTTACCTTTGAGTTGTTGATGCTTTGTAAATGGAGGTATGCAAAGATGAGATGATGGAGCAGGTTTCAGTCCTGGTTCAGTCTGCTGCTGCATCTTGGTCACCAACCTACCGAGGTATTATCAGCAGTGTGTGCTGCTGCTTGGGTATTGAACAAGAAATATTAAGGCTTCAAATTATTTCTCTTAAAGGATGTAAGCTGTACAGAGTACTGCACATGTGACTTTGTGAACATACCTCATTAGCAATAATTCAGACAGTTTTTTAACATGAATGTTTGCAACAAACACAGTACAAAAATATATACAGAGTCAGTGCTAAAAAATTCATTAGTGGAAAAATGAAACATATATTTGAACTGAAGCTGCCAAGCGGAAGTAGTTGGTTTCAGTACATAAATATCGGGCTTTGCTATTTAATTCATAGTTACTGATTAATGAGGGGTTACTGAAGTGCCAGGTTTGTTACTGTCCTGACAGATGTGGCAAGAGTCAGACAACATGCTGTTTGTTAATAATCAGCTCTGCACAGGAGCTGAAGCAGAGTCCAGCCTGTTGCTCTTACAGTAATATACTCATAATAAAAGTACAGTAACAGTAGTTAGTTAGTGACTGAGCAGCCCGGTGCTTTTCTCTTGATTTCTGTGTACATAACTGATTTGTATCACTGCCAGTACATAAACACAAATTCAAACTTTATCCTCGGAACACAGATGTTTTAAACTGATCTACTTCTATATTTACGATGCATGAATTCCATCTTAAAACCATATTTATTTTGTCTGTATTGGTTCATTTTGTACAGCAAATCTAACCTGGAAACAATCTACTGTCTGCCCTCTGTGGACATCAGTGCATTACTACTTTGATGAAATTGAACAAGGTTAGAGGCATAAATTTGTGATGAGTATTGTGGCTTTGCCTGTTATTATTTGGATAAATAATCAGGTGTTCAGAAGGCTGAAACAGTGTGTGTGAAATCCTTCAAAACAGTTTGTTACTTGCACATATGAGACGGAGCCATTTTCATTCTTCGTTAAGATTTTTTTTTTTTTTTACTAAAAAAAGATCAGCATTGTTTCATTATATAATGCGTCTGAGATATATATATGTATTACAGGGATTACAGGCAGAGAAAGGGGAGTAGGGGTGTGCTGCAGGATGAAGATGAATAACAGTGCACAAAATAGATGTGATATACATGACAGTTCTTCCCTTGTTGCACTGCAAGGGTGATGAGAATCTATGAACAAATAAAAATTAAATGCAAACTAAATTTTTGTTGTTGTTTTTTTTTAAAACATTTTAAGTTTTTAGCTTTAACTTTTTTTAAATTTTGATCTTCAGTACCACTAGTTACATCAGACCTTCCCAAAGTGTGGGGCCCGCCCCCTAGG